CATTTTTTCAATTTAATTTCTAGTGCTTTGAAGAAATGATTTCTTTTAAATGCAAATAAATATAAGATTTAAACTTAAATTTTCTCTAGACATTCTTCGATAGTGAAAAGCTTTTTATTCTGTAACTTCATTTCGTTATTAAGTCGTCTTAGGTGTGATTTTAAAGTAGATTTTGTGGTGAATAATTTCGAACAATGAGAGCAACGGAATGATACGGTATGCTTACGCATATGTCTGACTAAACTCCCTTTAAGTATGGTGTCATATTTGCACAAGTAACATTCAAATAGATGTGGACTGCAGTTTTTCTCGTGTGCAATCTTTGTCAGTTGCACCGTGAATCCTTGTCGACAAATCGAGCAATGGAATGGGAATTGTTTTGCGTGAGTTTTCATGTGCTGATTCAAATTGATCTTTGTAGTTAATCTCCTCGTACAAATATTGCATTCAAATGGTTTCTTGCCAGTGTGTATGCGTCTGTGTTTTATTAGATCTGTCGGATATTTGGTCACATAATTACAAAACTCACATTTTGTTTTGGATTTTACGCCCGATTTCGATCCTTTCGGTTGTTCAGTGCCATTTGAATTGGTCTCATTCTCCAGCCGTTCTTCAACAGTGAAAAGTTCTTGAACTTGTGCTTTCGCTTTGCCATTAAGTCGTTTTAAGTGCGATTCTAAATCAGATTTTTTGGCGAATCGTTTCGCACAATGAGAACATCGGAATGATCTGGCTCCGGTATGAATGAACATATGTCGGACTAAGTCTGTTTTGTTTAATGTAGCATATTTGCACAAGTAACATTCAAATCGTCGTGGATTGCAGTTTTTCTCGTGCGTCTCCTTTGTTCGCTTCGCTGTGAATCCTTGTCGACAAATCGAGCAATGGAACGGGAATTGTTTTGCGTGAGTTCTCATGTGCTTCTTCAGATCACCCTTTTGAGCAAATCCTTTCGCACAAATGTTGCATTCAAATGGTTTCTCGCCAGTGTGGATGCGTCTGTGTCTTATCAACTTTGATACATTCGGAGCCACATAATTACAAAACTCACATTTTGTTTTGGATTTCCCTTTCGATGTCGATTCATTCTGTTGATCAGCACCATTTGAATTGGTTTCACTTTGTTTACTCGATTGAGTATCCACGTTGTTTGACTGTTGAGACCTCTCTGCATCATCAAATGTCAGATCAATCAATGCTGATTCTGTGTGAAAATAACAAAGTTCTTGATTAAATAAATGGCATTTCGACACGTACTTTGATTGAAAATCTCACCTGAAATCAATTCTGGAATG